CCAGCCAGGTAAAATCCTTAACTGACAGCATCCATTTTCTGGCTAAGCTTTATATAAGATTGGTTTCTGTTCAGCAAGACTCGCAGATTGTTTTTGTTGTATGTTTCTGTAGTAAGACTTGTGTGCAAATATAGGTTAAAAAACTTCACTTGAGAGTTGTTACTTTAATTGGCCGTCAAAGTTTGTCTTTCTTGCAAGTTCTAGATGCTAACCCATCAATACTTGCTTCCTGACAACAGAAACTTGGGGATATCATGGAAATGGCTTTTGGTGGCCGTTACGTTATTTTTATGATGTCACTCTTCTCAATATACACTGGTTTAATCTACAACGAGTTCTTCTCTATACCATATCCACTGTTTGCCAGCTCAGCATACGAATGCCGTGATGTTTCTTGCAGGTATGTCAACTTGTTCTCTAACCCATTTTGCATTAGAGAAATATCTATAAGATTCTGAGTTTCTGTCTTCTGCTCTCTTGTGCAGTGAGGCTACTACAATTGGTCTTATCAAAACCCGAGACACTTATCCTTTTGGTGTGGATCCTGTGTGGCATGGTACCCGCAGTGAGCTACCATTCCTGAATTCGCTTAAGATGAAAATGTCAATTCTTCTTGGAGTTGCACAAATGAACCTGGGAATCATAATGAGCTTCTTTAATGCAAAATTCTTCAAAAGTGCTGTAAACGTATGGTGAGTCTTCAATTGTCTTCTTCCCTGATCATTTGGTACTCCTCTGAGTTACGTTGATTCTCTCCCTACTAAATAAAGTGGTCTTAACTGTAGTCAAGTCTTTGATTTTACATGGTTTCAGGTTCCAGTTCGTTCCCCAGATGATATTCTTGAACTGCTTGTTTGGATATCTTTCGGTCCTCATCATCATAAAGTGGTGCACTGGGTCTCAGGCAGATTTATATCACGTAATGATCTACATGTTTTTGAGCCCTATGGATGATTTAGGAGAGAATCAGCTTTTCCCTAACCAGAAAATAGTACAGGTTCGCATTGATACCTAACTCTGCACTCTCTCTGTATCAAAAATGAGATGATTTCGTCTCATCTAGTTCCTTTCCTATTCCAGCTCACATTCCTCTTTCTAGCTCTGGTTTCTGTTCCATGGATGTTGCTGCCAAAGCCGTTCATCCTGAAGAAACAACATGAAGCTGTGAGTCTCTTTCCTTGTTGATTAACTTAAAAGCTTCTTTACTGAAATTTGTACTGGCCATTACTGAAAGGTGATTCTTTCTTTTTCCAGAGACATCAAGGTCTGTCGTATGCACAGCTTGATGAAACAGATGAGAGTCTTCAAGTAGAAACAAATGGGGGAGGACATGGACACGAAGAGTTTGAATTCAGCGAAATCTTTGTGCACCAACTTATTCACACCATTGAGTTTGTGCTTGGAGCAGTTTCTAACACTGCTTCTTATCTTCGTCTTTGGGCCCTCAGGTACATACTACATTTTGCAAAACTAGCACTTGTGACAATCATCTTGTAGTACAGTTCTGTTAAGTTCATTGGTTCTTTGATGGTTTAATGTTGAAGTGTTAGTTTCGGATTTCTTGCTGCAAGAATCTTGCATATGTCATGGCTAATATCTATGCTTTGCTGGAATTCTTATTCAGTCTCGCCCATTCGGAGTTGTCATCAGTTTTCTATGAGAAGGTTCTCCTTATGGCTTGGGGGTAAGCAAATGCATTAAAAATCTTTCAACCTCTCTCGCTCTCTCTCTCTCTGAACTATTACGCTGTAGAAAGTTGTTGATAACAATCTCTCTCTCATTTCAACAGTTTCAACAATATCGCGCTCCTAATTCTTGGAATCCTCGTCTTCATCTTTGCAACCGTGGGAGTGCTTCTTGTGATGGAGACGTTGAGTGCGTTCCTACACGCGCTGCGTCTTCACTGGGTGGAGTACCAGAACAAGTTCTACGAAGGTGATGGTTACAAGTTCGATCCTTTCAATTTCACTCTCATCGGAAACGAAGAGGAGTGATTGTGATGGTTCTTCTGAATCACCGGAAATGCCTTCTTCTGCGTGTGCATATATAAAGGTATGGGAAGGAAGGATACTGAGTTCCTTCTCTAATCAAATTTCTTTTCTTCTTCTTAATTTAAGTAAGAAATTTGGATGTTGTTTTCGTCTCTCTGTTCCCTTTTCTTTCCTTGTTAGAAGGTTATATTGAATTTGTTGGGGAAAATAATTTATAAAAAAAAAGGGAGGGGAAGAATGGGATTTGTGTTTAAAGGCATTTGTTGTTGTGAATTGTGTTTGTGGAAGAAATAAGCTGGTGCTGTGTCCCTTCATTGATTTAGTAAAGAACATTTTTTGGATTAGTACATGAAAAATAACATTTTTGCAATCTTGATAATGAAAGCCCACGGTGATATCATATATGAATCTCTGATTACAAAAGCTCTGGTATGTTTGAGTCAGTCGCATGGTTTTCTTTGTCTCTACTCTCTCTCTAATGTTAAAAAGAAATGAGATTTGACAACAACACTCCAAAACTAAAGTAAATCAAAATAATAACAAATAAATAAAACACTTCAAATCTTTCTCATTTTGTCACATCGTTTTATATTTATTTTTGTCAGTGATATGTCAAAACAACTGTGTAATACGAATAATCTACGAGGGAATTTCAAAAATACTTCTTTTCTAATACCACTTTTTAAAATACCCCTTTCTAAAAACCTTATAAAAACCTTATAAAAACCTTATAAATGCCGTTTAGAACCTTTTAAAACCTTGTAAATATTTGGATTTAGTCTCCATGTAGTAATAATGATCTTGATATACTTTATCAACCATATAAAAATTTATAATTTTTCATATTTGAAAAAGGGTATTTTTGAAAATGGATAGAAAAGAGGGGTGTTTTTAAAAATGGGTACACCAAAAGGGGCATTTTTCAAAAATTCTCATAATCTATTGTATTAAAATAAAGTTTTCATTGTAATATTAAGATAAGAAATTAACTTTGTTTCCATTAAATAACAAAATTTCTAACTAAATCAAAATTTTAAGTTTTTTATACATTAAAACTTTATTATAAACGCACATTTTATTGTGATTAATAATTTTCTATAACTTTTAAATCAGCTTAAAGCATACGCGATAATGAATTTAACATCGCCAATTACAAGTTCGCCCATGGTGTAAATCTCCACACAAAGCAAACAGTCTTTTCTGCATCACTACCATCGATACCATCACAAAAACGCAAACCCGCAATTTTCCGTCAAAAAATAAATCCATATAAATTTTGTCGAAAATGTGAATCTATAATTTTTCCACCAAATAAAATAAATCCAAAATTACCACCAAAATTTGAATCTGCAATTTTGCACCAAATTTATAAATCCGTAATTTTCCACAAACACGTGTATCCACAAATTTCCTGCCAAGAAATTTTCCTGTAAAAAACGTGAATCTAATTTTTACGCCAAAAACATAAATCTGTAATTTTCACACAAAAATGTGAATTCATAAATTTCTTGTCTAAGAAAACAAAAACGTAATTTTTCCGCCAAAAATATGAATTTAAAATTTCTCGCCAGTAAATATGTGATGGTGATGATGAAGAAGATTAATTATAATTTTTTATGTTAATTATTAATTTATTAATATTGTAATGGGTTCACTTAACTAATCATTTAACCCATAAAATAGAAAGGTGCATGGGTTGATCCAATTTAATTGTTAAATGAGTTTTGATAACTCATGAACCCATTTAACTTTAAACTCATTGAAGTTGAGTTGACTTATCCATTTTGACACCTTTAATAACAACACTACTTAAAATTTACATCTGATTCTAACAATTCAGACTACGTCGAAAGTAGACTAAACTTACATCTTGTACAAATTCAGAGTTGAGATTCTCATTTTAATAGAGAGTTATATGTTACCAAGCAATGTAAATGAGTGCTAGTAATATTGTTCAAATAAATATGAATAAATAGATAAATAAACTAAACTGGTGCACATCACCAATATGATTATCTTTTTCAAGACCAGATTGGTCATTTCTAATATACATGTGTTACGTTCTTAATTTTTTCATTATGATGCTATATATTTAATAACTTTATTTCAAAAATGGCTAGTTTTGTAGAAGACCCTTTAAAAAACTTCCTACCACATCCAAACTTTTTTAAAAATTAACCTTAAATTTTTGTTTAGTTAATCAGAGTTTCTAGCTCTGGTGGTAAAAGACCCTTATCTGAGGTACCCGCCATCACGAGCAGGACCGGTCCTAGAATTTACGAGGGTAAAGCAAATTTATAAAAGTGTGATTTTACACTGTGAAACTTTTACAGAAATACTAAAAAAAAGTTTGTTTTACTAATATTTTTCTAGTTGCATATGTATATGTATTAAAAATAAATAAACTAGACCAAATATCTGAGAAACAAAATAAATAACAAAGTGGAAGATGGAAACATGAGGAATCAAAACTGTTTGACTATTAAGAATTTGTGTGACGGAGGATGGTAAAACCATTTGACTAACAAAATCTGGCGTTAATATTTACTTAATACTATGTGGCCTAAAGCAAAAGCTTTACTTGCCTTATGGGAGGGCAGGCCCTGATCACGATTTCGACCCCGGCCACTGCGGATTTTACATATGGGTTGCAGCATTCTAGGAGCCGACACGTGGAGTGCCTTTAGGCCGTCCAAGTGGCTAGTCCAAGTGCGAGCGTTGGGATACATGATGATTTGTAAGACAAAAGATAAGTTAAATAGTTTTCCTTTTAAGACTAAAACTTATTAATGTTTTCAAAGTTAATATGATAAAAACAAATCTAGTCAAATTATACATTAATAGTCACTCCAATCAACACCTCAACTTAAACTTTCCAATTTCATAAAAGACGGTTACGAGACTAAAATAAAGTTTCTTTATGATTTGGCAAGTAGCTCTTGCTCCCACACTCTCTTCCTCTATATATAGAGTAAGGCCTTTAGGAGAAACTCCCATAACTAAACAATCATGGAAAGACCAGATTTAGGTTCTTCAATTTCTAAGAAACGACGGATAGATTCTACGATATCCGCAGAAATCCCAAACCTTAAGGGGGAGGGTTTTTCTGAGGTCGTCGAATCCATCTCTATGTCAAGAAAAATTGTGGACGGTATAGTTTACCGACTATACTTCAAGGGTTTGGTGAGCGATGAAACGACGACAAATAATTCAAAGATGGTAAAGGCTGGTTTGGGAGTTGCGATCTGCGACGAGGCGGATAACTTGGTGCATGAAAAGAAGGAATCAGTGACCACCACCAAGAATATTAACAAGGTGAAGATTCTAGCGGTGATGTGTGGGTTAAATGACTCCATTCAACTGGGGATAAAAAATGTCTTGATTTGTTGTGATGACAATCAAATTTACCAATTGGCAAGTGTTTCTTTTCTCTGTTATTTTTATTGGTTAGTTTAATGAATTAACAGGCCTAAAATATTGTGTATGGTTATTGCTATTGTTTGGCTTTTTTAATTCTTGCTTTAGAGATATATAGTGTTTAAATAAACGGTGTGAATGGATCTGGCTTGTTACAATACTTTTGATTTGATAGGAGGGGCAGAGGTACCCTATTATTAGAATATCATATTATCTTTATCGTTATCTCTTACTATATAACTTCCTATTCTCTTTTACTATTGTTTGAGAGTCATATATTCTTATACTTGCATTCGGAGAAAGATTGGTAGTGTTGGATTGTAAATGGGTGATTAGTTAACTAATTGTTTGGATTATTTTTTTTTGTTGATTGAAGATAAATGGTAGAGTGGAGAATCTTTCGGAAACGATGGTTTATCTGTTGGACGAATTAAACAGCCTTAGAGAGAAACTGGTTTCTAGTGAGATTGTCTTGGTTTCCCAAAATGATGTGAAATTTGCTTACACACTTGCAAGAGATGCAATAGTTTCTCAAAGCAGCATCGGCGTTGATGTGATGGAGGCAGAACCACAGGGACAGGGAGAGACTTGTGTCGTTTGTCATGACGATACTGACCGCAGGTTCTTTACTAATGACGCATGCCTTCACCGTCATTGCTTTACTTGCGTGAGTATTTTGGTGGAAGTGGAGCTCCTTGAAGGAGATTTGCCCACATGCCTTGAACACGGATGCAAGTCTCAGATCAGCCCTGAGAGCTGTATCCAAGTTGTGCGCCCAAATCTGATTGGTATGTGGAAACGAAGGATCGAAGAGGAGTCGATCCCTGCTGCTGAGAGGATCTACTGCCCGTATCCAAGGTGCTCAATGCTGATGTCCAGAACAGAGCTTTTCATTGAAGGCGACCAATCCAATGTCGTCAGGGCATGTGTCAAATGCCGTGGACTCTTCTGCGTTGAATGCAAAGTACCATGGCATCCTGATATGTCCTGTGCTGATTACAAGAAACTTTTCCCGGAAGCTCTTGATGACTTGAAGGTTAAGTCTATGGCAAACGAGTATAAGTGGCGTCAGTGTGTCCGGTGTGGGTTCGTGATTGAACGCATTGATGGTTGCATCCACATGAAGTGCAAGTATAGCCTCCGATTCTTAAGCTACTTGATCATATGAATAGTTTTTATTTTCACAGTCACTTATTTTGTTTTGTGTTTTTTTGTAGATGTCATTTTGAGTTTTGCTACATTTGTGGGCTCGAATGGAAGAACCATGGATCATGTCATTCTGCTTGCTTTTGCCACTCAGACACTGATGAAGACGATTACTCTGATGAAGACGGTGTCGTCGGGGATGGGACTGACGTTGAAGCGAATGTATAATAATGAGCAGAAGATCATAAGAGCAAACTGGATTGCTCGGATCATTTGGGGATCAACTGAATAATGGTCTTTTGTTATTTGCTTTATGTTTTTGCTTTTGCTTTTGAAATTTAAGATAATGTTATAAACATATTTAAGGGATTTGTAAGCTCAAGACTCCATCTGAGTTTATGCATTTTCGAATTCACTGTTTTTTTTAGTTAGCTTTATTTTCAGAATTTTAAAATAGCATTTTGCAGTTAGAGGAGAGCTCATAATAACGAGAAAGCTTCATCAAGTGGCAGCAGTGACGGTGGAGACCAAACTATCAACACCGCAAATGTTACGACCTTTACATATCTTATAGAAACCATTCTCACCCCACGAGTTCTTGATGATCCAATACGGTTTTCCTTTCAACCTTGCCTGAGAGAACCCAGCCGAGCCGTATCCCACCAGCAGCACACCGTGGTTGAGCCACTTCGAGCATATGTAAGGGCAGGACACTCCTCCAATGTAGGTTTGCATGTAAGCTGCGTTGATCGCCACAGCTAGAGGACCGTTTTTGACAAGGTTTGCAGCTATTTGATCTTCGTTGATAGAGACAACACTGAAGTTTGAGACAGAGGCAACGATCTTAGACCTGTCTAATTGACATCTCCCTCCATCAGTGCTAGTGTAGGGATAGTCTTACTCTCGCATAAGCCCTCCGATTTTGAACGTGTACTCAAAGGTACTGTTCATTAACCCACCGTTACAACCAGAGCCACATGAACCTGCCACTTCTGGATCACACTGCAAACAACAAACAATCATGAATTCATAAGACAAATTGTTGCATAACCTAAAACCATAGCGTAATAGCCTCCATCAAGATTCACATTCAAGAAACCAAAACCATAAACAAGAGGAAAGGAAGAAGGATTCCATAGTACTCATACCTCGTGACCACAGTCTACGAGCTGTTGTTCACTGAGACTAACGAGTTTGCCAGTCGCGAGGAAATGAGCACCTTCAAGGGCATCTGTAGTGCTAAAACTCCAGCAAGATCCACAAGATCCCTAACAAAACTAGTCAGATCCGAAAACTGCGTAACGCCGTGACGAGCGTCAGGATCCATCTTCTGCTGACCCATCGCTCGCCTTAAATTAGCTTTGAAAACAGAGAATCTGTAATGATGCTCCTCGTGTGAACCAGACACCTTACCAAATTTCTTCTTGAAGAGAGCAAAATGATCCTCCGATGACAATACCTTCGGCTCCTCCGTTTCATCGACCACTTGCCGGATCAGCACGTCTTCGTCCCCGCAGAGCGCAACAGAGACCAACGCAAAGAGAAGAGAAACAGAGCACAAAACCCTAACATGATCCATCATTCAAATTATGGTGAACAGAGAGGGTGTTGAGGGGTTTATAACAACACAACTTAGGATTTTAGATAGAAGTAACAGACCAATTACTTATGGACATGTGGAAATGTAGGACTTGTAGGTTAGGACGTTAGTTGGCACACACCTACGAAATGTTCGGGGAGTTAGGTAATTAACCGTTCGTTACTCGGCTATGACAACAACTCTCTTAAAATAAACCGGTCCGGTTCAACAATGATTTCTTAAGATTCTGATCCGGTCTATATAGTTTGTTAGGATACGAATACAAAACAAAAGACGTGTTTCGAGATTTTTTTCCGACAGAATATAAAAGACAATACAGATGTATGAAACTTAAAGAAGATCAAAACTGACTGACATTTGATTCAAGATTGGAACCATCTCCTGACTTGTTTCTGAGGGCCGGTTTTGGCTGAGCTCTGTGAGAACTTTGACTTGTATTGCTCTATCAACATATCAAGTTTGTCCACTACCTCTGCACCTCCTTGACCTTGGCTTTGCTTCTTTGTCCTCTTCCTCTGCCCATTTATACTCTCTTCGCCTCTGACTTCCCCAAGCTTCCTCTTTCTTGGTCCATCATTGCTCAAATCTTTGGAATTCTTCGGATTTGGTTTCTCATTTGCCTCTTTCTGTCTCATCATCCTTTGGCCTTTCTGGTTTGAAGACGGCTTTTCTTGTGCGCGTATAGGTCTCTTCTTCTCTGATGCATCATCTTTTACTGCTATATTGGGTTTTCCTTCTTCTTTACTCTCTTCCCGTGGGCGCACAGGTCCCTTCTTAAACCTGGCTGCATTCTCATTCCTTGGTCCAGTGTTATCCCCTTCCCTCGTTTTTCTTTTGTATCTATTGTCAGGTTCCTGTGCTTCACCATTCGACTGCTGCTGCTCAGATTTGTTGTGTATCTCGCGTTGCTGAAACTGCTGCTGCTTAGCTTCTCGTATCTTCAGCTTCTGGACATTATCAACAGCAAATTCTATAACTGGGCGGTGTTGAGGACCAAATGTCTCTGCAGAAATAACCAAAACGATTGACATAAAAAGTTATGATTCTTGGACTTCACTGCATCCTAAAACGCTAATATGATATTTGTCTCATCTTCCTCCGATTGATGAGATAACCATAAAATCATCAAAACTGCAAATCTTTCGGAAAAATACTTGAATTTCTATGGAAAGTTGGATTCCAGCAAGATCAATTACCAGGATTGTTGTTCAGTACTCTCAGGGCTACAAGAGCATGTTCATGCTCCGTGAACTCGACAAAGGCAACTCCACGGGAGTAGTTCTTAGTATCAACTTTACCCTTCTTCTCATTTTGTAAGAATTTGATCTGCGTAGAAAACAAAGAAACTAGCTTCAGATAATAGGACTATGTTTGAATTGTAGCACAAAAACAAATCGCTGACCTGTCGAATAGTTGGCTTCTGCTTTGTAGCTCGTGAGGTAACAGCATCAACTAAAAGCTTGTTTAGTTGCTTTGGATTCATGGACTTGGGCAAATTATAGATCACAAGCCTTGTTCGAGATACATGGAAGTTAGGAGACTGTAGCTTTTTCATCTTGTTTTCATGCAATCTGCGAGGATAATTACATGCTCACTCTTCTCTCATCCCAAATCACTGAACAGTAACATGCATATATGATAAAGTAAAAAAAAAAATACCTTCGTCGCCTGTCCATATCTTCCGCAGAAACACCTTCAGCAGCAGGTGTACCATCAAGGATCTGACCTTCCTGTGGATTTTTAAGCCAAATGATATCAGTGCATGTTTGAAAAGAATGAAGAGTTTACGATTTCCAGAGATTTTTTGAGGACTGAGAGAAGTGTGTACAGTATACCTTAGCAAGATAAAGATTCCTATGGTCAAGATTCTTCTCCTCGGTCTTTTTGAGTTCAATGTCCTGTGCAGCTTTCTTACCCACAGCTCTCATAACGTTCAGTTGCCTGCCTTTAAGAAGGACACCTACACCTGAGGCAGTATCGGCAGCTGAAATGGCTGCAACTGATGCATCTGCTGCTTTGAACTTGAGAAAAGCAGTCCCTTCTGGCCGCCTGAGAAATAAACCCAAACAGAAAAAATGTGAGGCTTTGGGTTTATGGAGATACCAGAGCTTGAATTTTTTTTAATGATATAATGAATTTGAAAGCATATCAGGATACATACTTTGTGACCTTGTGGAGAACCAGGAATAAAGACTCAACTTCCCCAAATACAGCAAACCTCTGTCTGACTTCTTCCTTAGTAACATCAAATGGGAGGTTTCTTATAAATAACGTTCTTTCAAAATCATCATTATCCTGCGTTTCTTTAGGAGCCACCTCTTTAATTTTACCGGATTTCAAAGGTTCAGAGACACCAGAAGAGTCAGCGATTGGTTTCGTTGCTGGATTTTGAAGTTTGCTTTTATCTGACTCTTCTGTATCTCCATCAGGAGAAGCAATAGAACCTTTTGAAGACGCAAGCAAGTTCTTAAGAACCTTTCTCGCAACATCTGCTTCCTCTTCAAAATTCACATCTGTCCCAACATCTTTCTCCAGTGCATCTGATTCGCTCAGTTTGCTACAGCTGTCCTCATCATCATCAGCATCATCTCCTGAAGGTGGGTGGCTTTCTACAGCATCATCAACCTCCTCCAAAACAACACTAGTGTTATCACTGTCCTCATCACTTCCTTCTTTGTCACCTGCCAAGGTTGAGTGAAAAAGCATGACTCTATGCTAAGAGGAGATAAAACAAAAATTCGGCCACCGACTTATCTGTTTCCCTCATATACAAGTTGAGTACAAATTATTTTTAATAATTGATAAGTTACTAGCACTGCCAGCGATATCATAAAAATAAAAAAACAATACCGTAACATACCATCTGCTGAAGCAGTAGGGGCATCAGCAGCACCATTGTAAATATTCTTAGGTACAGCCCAGTCTACAGCTATAGGCCTTTTACTAAACATGTACCCATTGAACTTTTGAATTGCCTGAAGATGCAAAGATAATTAAGATAAGTGATCCGAATGGATGATAACCAAATCAAGATACCCATGTTTCTAGATCTTACATTTTCTGCATCTTTCTTACACGTGAATTTGACAAATGCAAAACCCTTAGGTAGCCTGCCAAAATAGTATACCAAATGAGAGTAATATAAATTGAATTATTCATAATCAAGAAAATCACTCAGACAAATTAGAACATACCCAGTTTCAAAATTTTTGGGAATAAAAGCATCCCAGACAAACCCTTCTGCTGAAAACACCTCTTTAATATCTCTGGGTGTAGCCTGCGAAATTCAAAAACTACATGATAAAAGAAACAAATCTATATATGAAATTGTAGGTAATAAAAAAATCTGGGTTGTAAGAACCTTGAAAGGGAGATTTCGGATAATTAGTTTCCACTTCTGAGCCTTTGAACCCTGCATCCAAAGAATACCAATAAATTATGAACTGTTTCACATGCTAATCAGTTAACTACTCGACAGAAATACAATGGTGAAAAGCAAATGATGTTCACCTCACCACCAAGCTGACGAGCCCAAATGAGATTTCCCTTCATCTCTGTTTGATGTAATTTTGCAACAGCAGCACAAGCAGATTTGACACTCGTAAAGAGAACAGCTGATGCTTCTGCCCTGCATCCGTCTTGGGTAAGACCTGAAAAATTTATAGTTCTGATGCTTAGTAAATGTATCATTAGCACAAAGTCTGGCATGTTATTATAAGAAAACAAAGAAGGTTATCATTATATACCCACAGTAGTAATTATTAAAATGTGAATAGAACAGCTTGCAAACTTAGTTCAGATTCTAGAAAGGGTATGCGCACACAGGCTTTATTATATGTAGATATGTATCACATATATGTTGTTAGGTAAAAATATTAAGTAACAACCCAGAATTCAGCCTCAAGATAAAGAAAAGTGAGGCAACCAACACAAAATGAAAAACTTAATAATGGAACCATGAGCAAGAGATGCATTCCAACAACATTATTTCAAAAGTAACCCTATAAATCTGGAGTATCGAAAAAAGTACTTTATACTTCATATGTACTCTCTCTCTAGGAATCTTACGAAATTTGATATAGCTAATTTAATCAACAGAAATTCATGTCCCAATAGTGCTCACTGAGACTAGGCCTTTTGTGCGCCGTCTTGAATAACAATATCTTTCTCTGCTACACAGATGCATAGATCAAGCAGCTCTAAAGGATAACTTGGCACTTCACTTAGATATTAACATCATTTACAAAATAAAAACCTTTTAACTAATAGATATAACTAAAAAAATTGGTTGGGGTATGTAAGCAGGCATGTCTCCATTTTCTTTACAAAATTCTTACCATTTTGTTGAAGCTCTTCTCTTGGAAGTGGGTATCTAACAGAGCACACAGTGCCAATCTCTTTGCAACGTTTATGGACTACCTCTGCCATCTCAGGATTAACAAGGCCACCAAAGATTACAGTTCTTGCAACTCTTCACCAAATAATAAAATAGAGAACATATATAAGTAAGAAAAACAAGAGATGCAGTTTTGATTATGCATATAGAATATTAGGTTTACAAATCTTTCTAGTCACATGCTTAATCTCAACGAGATAGTCTTCCATACACAGGCTACTAGAAATCCATTCAGGATATATATCTATACAAAAATCAGCACATTATTATAAAATCATACCTTTGCTTGTCTGAACATGTTTCTTTATCAGGTAAATCAACATGAAGCTTTGTTGGTCTTTTGCGCTCAATTGGCTTCTCTACTTTTTTGCACTCAATTGGCTTCTCTACTTTTTTCCGCTCATTTGGCTTCTCTATTTTTTTGCACTCAATTGGCTTCTCTACTTTTTTCCGTGCAATTGGCTTCTCTACTTTTTTTTCCTCAATTGGCTTCTCTACTTTTTTCCGCTCAATTGGCTTCTCTACTTTTTTGCCCTCAATTGGCTTCTCTACTTTTTCTTCGGTTGGAAGAACTAATGCAAATATAAATTTCGTGACAAATGAGAACCAAGCCAACTTACTTAGACTGCAAAACCAAATATAGGCAGAACTTATACCTTTCTTGTCTGTCTCGGGGATCAAAGTGCTCTTGTCACTCTGTGCCTTAGAATTATCAGGTAAAGAGATACCTAATTTGGAAAAGAAGAATACAAGAAATTTACAATAAGAATAGTGGTGTCAATGAATAGGTGAGTGCTGAGATAACAATAATATCGAACTCTTCAATTCCAGACACTTACCTTCAGCTGCTTTTGTACGACGCTCTTGAAGGGAAGGCCGGTGTGTGGCCTGTTTAACTGTAATCCTACGGCCCCCAACCGTAGAACCGTTCTTCAACTCAATGGCACGCTTAACATCCTCTGGTAAAGCACTGTAAAAGGAAGAAACTTGGGAATGTAAGAACCAATATCACTTTGCCCAGTAAAAAAAATAGTTTCAACAAGTGGGCTAAGCTTACAATATAACAAAGGCAAAGCCGCGATGTTCATTTGATCCTGTAAATAGAAACGATCATGTTAGCTCTTGATAGGCCATGATAACTTAAATTTCAATTGTGACCCCAAAGTCAATCACCTTTATTTGTCACCAGAAAGCAACGCCTGACGGGACCAACTTCACTGAAGGCTTCTTCAAGCTGAAACAATTTGAAGATAACAGTAACGCTAATAAGAATTTCGAAGAAATACATATGTTTCTGGGAATTGATTCAGGAGCTCAACAACATTCAGAACATCATCATCATCCATACACAACTCTCCAAGCCAAACTCGAATCAACAAACAGTAACCTAAACCCAAGGCAATGAGTATATATAGATAGAGAACGAGGAAGAAGGTACCTGAGCATTGGTGATGGAATAAGGCAAACCAGAAACGCAAACAGTGGCGGCAGAGTGTGGAGATTTTTCTTCTCCATCTTTCCTCTCTTTCTTGTTTTTACCCATTGACGATACCTTAAGACTCTCGAGAGGTTTCAGATTAGGGTTTTTCAAAAAAATTTGAGTTTTGCAGTGCTCAAAGAGAAAGAGATTGAAGAAGAGGGCCGAAGATGTTGAAGGTGAAGAAGAAATCTAGGGTTTATTTACCAAACCACTAAACCCAAGTTAACCGACTAACCCAGATAACTTACGCGGAACCGTGTGGTGTGATTTCGATTGGGTCGATTTAATTCTTCGGTTATGATGTTTTAGCCGCACAATTCAAAAATCTTCTGAAATTTTAGTACATTGTTACTAAAGTAATAAAAAGGTCACAACCATAAGACGAGAGATAAGATACAGTTTGAGTTCGGTTCATCTCTTAAATTAAAATGTTCAGAAAAATATAAAAATATGCAAATATTATTGTATCCGATCCGATGGACCAAACGATCAATAACCGGTTAGAATCGGTTTATCAAATCAGTTTACCTTGGTGTATAAGCACTTGATATCTTGCTTCAACTTGGTCGTCTCAAGAAACGCATCCCCCGACTGATCAACATCAATGGCTTCACTACACCCACAATCATCTCTTCCTGGTCCAACATTCCACTCGAACCACATCTTCGACATCATCTCTTTGCGCATACACGTTTCGTAGTTGTCTTCCTCTGGTGAATCCGCAGCTACGAGCTTGTACGCATACACTTTCCTCTTCTGTCCTGGCCTGTAAGCTCGAGCCACGGCTTGCTGAGTCACTGATGGGTTCAGATGAACATCAAGTATCAGAACCCTTGATGCACCCACCAGTGATATTCCTTCCCCACAAGCTCTTATCGATCCGAAAAACACTTTAGCCTCTGGAGAATCGTTGAATCGCTTCATTGACTCTTCTCTCTCTTCATTGCTCGAATCTCCAGTGATTGTGAACATCTCTTTCCCTATACTCCAACCTTTCATTGAGCTCATGAGTTTCTCAAGAGTCTTTATTGGGACTATGTACTGGCTGAACACCAAGAGCTTCTCTCCTGTTGATTCACACAGAGCTAAGAGGTTGAGGAAGAACTTCATCTTCACACCGTCTCTGATGTTGATCTTCTTCAGCATCTCATCTAGTTTCCTATCTATGTTCTTGTTATTAGCAAGACTCTTTTCACTGTTCGACGGGTTTTCCTCCAAGAAAGATTTCAGCTTTGGGTGGATATACAATGCAGCACCAAGAGAGATCTGCTTGAACAGATCCATTTTCCTCAGACCCTTGACTTCATCTCTCTGGATCGAGCTCAGGTTGAGCATGACAGTGAACTCACTAATCCCGGGGAGCAAGCCTCTGAAATCTGCTTTGTAATAATGCAAGATATTACAGGTCATTTCGCGTAGATCCCTTATCAAGCTGGCTTTGGCTGAAGATTCAGTACCCTTCTGTAATGTAAACTCTACTGCAGCGAAGAAAGCTCCCTCCATACTACTCTGGTTCACCTGTTTGCCACTTGGTATCCCTGCCTTGCTCATGATACGGGTAACAATCTCCCGAGTTCCAGGACGCTTCAAGAACTTGGGACGAACAAGATCCAAAATGTTAAACACTTCCTCAACATTGTTTTGGAACAAAGTACCTGTGAGAACAACCTTTCGAGGAGTCCTGACACGAGCAAGCGAAATAAGCATGTTTGTCTCCTTATTCCTTGATGTATGACCTTCATCAAGTATAAGCAAAGTTGGCTTCTCAAGCAATATCAGTTTACAATCTTCTGAAGCTGCTTCAAAGTTCTGATCATCGCAGATGATCTTTGCAAACTGTTGGTACCCAAGAAACAGAATGCTTCTCTGTTCGACCCACTTCTCCAAAACCTTCAGTTGTTGTTTCCGTGATTCGGCTTTCACGCTGTAGAAATCAAGCAGGGGAATGTTCTCAACTGCCCACGAAGTAAACTCTCGCTTCCATGAATCTATGATCCCCTTTGGTAGCACAATCAATGGTCTAGCCTGCGGATCCATAGCCATGAAGCTCTGAAGAAAGCTGATGAGAAGAAATGTCTTGCCTGATCCCGGTGCATGAGCTAATATGCATCCACCTGGCTTATCTGCTGCAAGGTTGTTGCATAAAAAACTGAATCCTTCGATCTGGTGAGGCTTCATGTCCTGATAATGTTTTGGGTGAATGAACATCTTTTCTCCCAAAATGTTTGTCTGAGAAAACTGGCTTACTGAGAATGCCCTGCTCGTTTCCCCATTTTCTTTTTCACGCATATAAGTTCGTCTCATTTTCTTCGGCTACATCAGGAATGAACATAACGTGAAGTTCTAAATTTATCTAACAAAGTCAATATCTACCACACACAATTATCAGTGATCACTAACCTTGTTGAACACAACCTCGATCATTCTTTCAATTGGTGTCTTGATGAGTCCACAAACACGACACACTTCTCCAATATCGTCCTTGTAGATGAAGGAATGGTCACAGTCTTCAACTTGTTTGAGATCATTACTTTGTGAATGCTCCACCGTTTCCTAACCAAGAAAGGCAAAATCAGCTGAAAACACTAAGAATGCACAGAGAAGCAGATATCTGGATCAGAAGTAGTATCTATATAATTAAATGAAAATGTACAGGAAAGTAACCTTATCTGATTCCTGAGCAAATGCCATCTGCCTCCAAAGCTCTTCTTCTTCCTCCGCAGCTACATGTAGAGGATTTTGATTGTCAATATCAGTAGAATTCCCTGATGAATCCTCCTCTTCATAATCTTGAAGACTTGTGTCAGATCCTGAGCTAGTCCCACTATTCCCATCATCATTAGAACTGTTTCGCAGAGCATTGCTAGTAGAAGCCGAGCCACGAGTCAACTTATCTGTAGTAGCATCATCATCTATAACAATCACTTCCTTGAGCTTCTTCAGCCTTTTATGGAGAGGCTAAAAAATGCAAAACGAGATCATAAAGATTTAAACTTGGCGACAAAAGATGAACTCGGATTATAACAAACATTCAATAAATTTCTGCTTACACTAACTGATGCTTGATGCAACTCATTATGGGAATCAGTGTTACGAATCTTAGTAGACTTGGCTTGCTTTTTCTCTTCTCTAGCTTCGATATCTCCCAATGAGATAAAACCATTCGAATAGTCCTGTTTCAGCTTACAAAGTCTCTTTACATCATCAGCAAGCCATCCGTATTTACCCTCTTCAAGCTCATCAAGGATAAATGGTAGAAAGAATGGGTCAGGACGCTTGGCAAGTTCTTCTTGAGTAATGCTCTTGTTACGTGACCTCAAAGTCCAAGCTGTTCATCATCATTCACCACTAAAAATTAGACGCATATCAACAAAAGTAATCAAAAATCTGCACCAAAAGGGTTTTAATTTCTTCAAACAAAACCAAAAAAGGAACGATCTTTAGGTCAAAATCTCATCCAGCAAGAAAGATACAGACATAAATGAACTCATGGAAACAAAACTAACAAAACCCATGTTTGGGTTTTAGAAATCAAAAACACAATCAACAGATTCGGGTCAGCTCTAGAAATCAAGCGAATGGCTTTTTAGATTTCACATTCAGATTCTGAATCTTTGAACTTCCATAGACAGAGACTAATCTTCTTCTCCTTCTTCGTCACACCTTTGCTTTCAGCAAAGAGGAGCAACGAAGAGAGGTTTACAAAAGAAAAGGAAACCAAAGTGTAAGTATAATAAACGTACGCGTCTCCCTCGGCTTCGAGAACGGAAAGCGACCAGTGCCCACCATGTCTGATAGCTAAACAGAGCTCCTTAGATCAAAACTACGACTACAAACATGTAAAAGACCTTAAAGTCTGAAGCTTTATGCATAAATCCGAGAGGTTATCGAGCAACGAAGACAAATAGATCTACTTTTCTTCTGGAAAAATGAAGTTTTTTTTTTGGTTTCCCATAATGGAAGTAAGTCATGGTGGCAAAGTGGCAAAGGAAAGATACAGAAACACGGACGGTTTCGGAATGTCAATAAGACAAAACAATACATACACATCTATATATATCTATCTATACATACACAATACCATTGGGCATTGGCTTTTCCAAAATGTTAAAACATTTCAAACGGATTATAAAATATGGTCAGTGGTGGACTCATGGTTATGTGACTATCTATCTCTCTTACAAATATGTTGATGTAGAAATATAAATGAGCTACATAACCATGTTAATATAATAAATAAATGGTATTTGATGATTAAAGTGTCCTTTGGGGACATTTGAGTAGAAATGAAAAAAACAATGTCAATACTATCATTGGTATATTAGGGATTTCATAAGTTAGAAGGTTTTAAGTTTTGGCGGTGAAGAAAAAACTAACTAACCGTTTCGGTTTTGTTTTCTAGTCTAAATAAATTTTAAATTAAAAAAACTATTTTTCGCGGGAATATTTAAAATACCGTTATGTTTGTATATTACCTTAATATACCAATTATTTGTGTTGGATTTGTAACGATAAAAATGGATCAATACTTAATTTTTAATGAACATGTATGGCATCATGTTTATGGTCAATTTCAGATTATCTCCACATAAATCAATGAATAACTTCACATGTAATTATTAAGATAATCGTTTTGCTTCTTCTTCAAATCAATCACTTACATTAATAAGAAAATATCTTTCTAATATATTGTAATCATATACAATATATTTGTAAACTAAACACACAAAATTGGATGTAAATTTTGCATCACACACAATATATATATGGTGTGTATGTATGTGTATGAAAAATCCATATACTATCCCTATCATATAGGCACATAACAATGATTCATATAAATATTCATACCTTTCTTTTGTGAACTATTTTGATTTGCATCCATTGTAATAAAACAGCAGATTCAGAATAATAATTCTTATGTTTTTTGGAATTAATTTGTTTGCTAGAGAAAGTAAGAAACTGAACTGATTGATATATATATATATATATACAAAAATTGCAGGTTGAATACAAAATATATTCAAAACTATACAAGTAAATTACTTGTAAAATATTTTCGACTCTTCACATCATCATAACTACAACTTGTTCGAAGAACATTTTACTAGTGGAAGCCGAGCCATTATAAGTAGCAGAGAAACAACTATCCAATATGAATATTATCATACCATCTACAACGATCACTTCCATGAGCTTAGCTTGTTCGACCATTTTACATAAAAAGGCTGAAAATGCAAAACTACATCATAAAGATTTAATTAAACTTGGCAACAAAAGATGAAACGGGTTTATCAAAAATGCCAATGAACCTTAGCTTAACAGCTTCTATATATTATTAAAAAGCTTACATTAACTGTTTCTTGAGGCAAGTCATCATCTGAATAGATGGATAGTTTATATGAGTAGACTTGGCTGTTATTTTTTCTCATCGCTAGCTTTGATATCTTACAATGAGATAGAACCATTCAAATAGTTATGTTTCTTTTATATCAAAGTCTCTTTACATCAACATATCAAGCCATCCGTATTTACTATCTTTAGGTAGAAAGAATGGGTCAGGACGCTTGGCAAGTTCTTCTAGCTACGGTAATTCTCTTGCTACGTAACCTTAAAAGTCCAAGATTTACATCATCAAGCACCAGTAAAATTAGAAAGCAGAATCATAAGGAAACAAACATTAATGTGCACCAAGATGGGTTTACTTTCTTCAAACCAACCAACCCAAAAAAAAAAAAACAGAAACGATTGTATAGGTCAAAATCTCATCCAAGAACAATATGCTTAGTGTATCACTCATATCTTCTTTGGTGAACTCATGGTTATGTAAGAAGAGATAGATATAACCAACATTTGTACACTAGCCCACCTATGAAGAGATGTTCTTATTTATCTATGTGGTTGGTATAAAGAAGAACCAGAACGATGACCTTATTGACCATAAACATGATGCAATTCATTGTTCATTACATATTAATTATTGAATGTATTATAAATTTATATTATTATCACACATAATTGATATACTATTATTATTGGAATACAAACCGATATCCCACATCGGAAGATGAAAGAGAAGTTTCTAATATATGAGTCAACTCCAACTCCAATTAGTATGAGGTTTTTTGGGAAGAAGCCCAACAAATCCGTGCAGGCTTGAGTTATAGGCCCAAAGCGGACAATATCATTCTAATGGAAAGTTGACTTGGTTTAGAGATCCCAACAATTATGCAATATACAAACATAACATTATTTTAAACATTCTCCTGAAAAAATTTTAGATTTTTAATTTAAAAATTGTTTAGACTATAAAACAGAATTTGAAACGATTAGTTAGTTTTTTCTTCACCGCCAAAACTTAAAATTTTCTAACTTTTGGAATTCCTAACATACCAATAAAAATACTAACATTTTTTTTTTCCCAAATCCAATTTTCTTGAAAGGATGACACTTAATAATGTTGACATGTATGACAATTATTTCTCTCTAGATTATTTGTTGTCACTAAATTATCTAGCGTACATTTTAACCAACGCAACGTTCAACTGTTTTTCGTTTTTCATTTTTCCTTAATTGATTGTTGGTTTTGAAATTAACAAAATATACATATATTGTAATGTTTATAACTGTGAAAATCTAATGTTTAAAGATGGTTTACTCAAGCAATTGGGATAGAATGTAACGTTTAACTGTTAAATCTAAATCTAAATCTAAATCTAAATCTAAATCTAATGTACAGTGATAGTTCACTCCAATCAAACTACTAGCTGCTACTCAAGAAGGTGTAAGGACATTCACAGGACATGAAAAAAAACTTCAAATTAATTAGTTTATTAATCATTAAAAAATGGAATCCTTTTTTTTTTTTTTTTTTTTTGTCATCAATGGAATCCAAATCATACGGTAATATATAAAGTCAACAACTTAAACTAAAAATATTCCAAAGAGTCCTTTAATTTAATTAATAAAACACACACAAAAATAAAATAAAAAGAAGCCCACGTGACTCTTTTTTTTTGTGTGTGTGTGTTACTATTTACTAACGAAGAGCCGTCTCTTTCCTCTTCTCTTCTTCTTCGAAAATTTCCCCAAATCCCTCCACTCAACATAAACCCTAGAATATCAATTTCTCTCTATTTACTAGTACTCTAATTCGTTTCGATTCTATATCACTTACCCTAGAATAAAGCTTTCATTTTTCTAATCCACCAGTTCTCCTTCCTTCTTCTGCACTGAACCGTCGCTTATAGTATTGCTCCTTCTTCTCACTTTCTCCCCCCATGGCTGCGCTACAACAACAATCCGCCATTAAAGTAAGCTCTCAAAGTACACTTAAGCTTGTTTCTCTTTCGGGTGTTTTTCAAATTGAATTTCCCCTTGTTGGGGTTTTCAGGGCGCGAAAGTGCTTATGGTTGGAGCTGGTGGGATTGGTTGCGAGTTACTCAAGACTCTTGCTCTCTCTGGATTCGAAGACATTCATATTGTTAGTTTTCTCCTTTCGTGACTTTTAGTATTCATAAGTTGTGATTTCTTCTTCTTCTTCCTCTTTTGAGATTCTGGGTCACTGACGGAAGTTCAAGCATTTCAAATTCCCTATTTGGTTACAGGATTTGATTTAAAGTTTTGGGGTTTTAATGTTATTGATGATTTTAGTAGTTTCTACATCTTTCAGCTTTTTGATTTGCATGTTCATGAGATCACATCGGGATTCTACTGGACACAGTATGGTTTAAGTTTGACTTGTTGAAGATGGGCTCTGTGTTTAGCTGTCTTTGCCACTAGGCCTAGTGTAATTCGAAGACTCTGGTTAGACATTGTATAGTTTGGTTTACATGAACTACCTCTCTTTAAATTTTGGGATTTTGTAGATTCATGATTAAACGTTTTGTATCAGAAACCATCGGATTTTACTTGTGGTCCTTCTCGAATTCTGGATTCAGTAATTGAATAGAGCAGTGACCTATCATTTTAGTTTGTTCCGTGGTTAAGTTACTGGTTCTCTTGTGTTGCAGATCGACATGGACACTATTGAAGTCAGTAACCTGAATAGGCAATTTCTTTTCCGTCGTTCTCATGTTGGGCAGTCCAAGGCTAAGGTAATTTTGCTTGAGCTAAGTCCAAGGGATTTTAGTTCATAAGAGATAATTTGTGTTTACCATATCACCAGGTTGCCAGAGATGCTGTCTTGAGATTTAGGCCGAACATTAATATAAGATCGTACCATGCTAATGTGAAGAATCCCGAGTTTGATGTTGATTTTTTCAAGCAATTTGATGTTGTTCTGAATGGACTGGACAACCTAGACGCAAGGCGCCATGTGAATCGTCTCTGTCTTGCAGCTGAAGTTCCTCTTGTAGAAAGCGGGACAACAGGCTTCCTAGGACAGGTTATTCCACTTGCCCTTTGGTCATGCAATTCGATTTTCTAACCAAAATCTATTAGTTAGATATTCTAAAATGCTAGGCTTGAATGGTATAGTTGTTATCATTTCTCTCTTATCTGACTTTGGAATTCTTGGTTGCGTGTACAAATTAGGTAACTGTGCATATAAAGGGAAAAACAGAATGTTATGAGTGCCAAACCAAACCTGCTCCAAAGACCTATCCTGTGTGTACAATAACCAGTACTCCAACTAAGGTATAACACTGTCTTTTTTTGTTACAATTTTTTGTGAATCTTGGGGAACTTATATTTTATCTTGGCTGGTATAGTCTTATCCTAAGCAAATTGCTTGGTTTTGTTGTGAAAATGAATTTTGAATTGATTTACAGTTTGTGCACTGTATCGTGTGGGCAAAAGACCTGCTCTTTGCAAAGTTGTTTGGCGACAAAAATCAGGATAATGATCTTAATGTACGATCCAACAACTCTGCAAGCTCATCCAAAGAAACAGAAGATGTATTTGAACGTTCAGAAGATGAAGATATTG